TAGTCAATACACTGAAAATAAGAGTGAAACTGACAGCAAGAATGAAGGGGATGTGGTAGATGGAAGAGATACAAAGGAAGGTAATTCTTTGGTGCCAAGGAAAGCTGTAGGGATAGGCAGAGTATAGAAAATGATGTAGAATCAAAACCGAGTGATTTTAGAGTATCTCAAGTGGATCTTAGATACAGAAAACGTAAAGCATCGGTGTATGATGGATCCATCATGTTGATTTGACACAGCTGCAACAAGCAACGGGGCATTTGGCGAATGGGAACAATGACTTGGATTTTTCTAGTGAAGCAGCTCAGTACAGTGAAACAGAAGATGGAGAGAAAAATTATAGGTTGCCTCCCATAATAGATCGTAGAATATCTGAAGAAAAGGAATCTGAGGTAGTGAGAGCAGAAAATCGTCTGATGAACCCCAGAATTGTGATAAAAACTGTGATGAACCAGAGAGTATAGGGTTAGGAGTTCCGAGCCAAAGATCAATGACAGATTTAGTGAAAAATATAAAAACTATGCGGCTAAGGTTTCTAAGTCAATGTGGGCCTCCACCTGATCTATCCCAGTACAATATGGTGAGTTCAATGCGTGTGGCATTATCACCCACAAAATCTGTAACTACACCTGTGAAAACATTACAGAGGAGCTCATCCTGTCCAAATTTAACTACTGAAGGCCCACCATTATTGGGAAATGTTACTGATGGAAGAGTGCGGAAGGAATCAGCCATGTCTTCTCTCACCTTGTCACCAACAAGACAGCCAGTCATGATGTGTGAAGCAAGCACACAGACTGAGGAATCCAATGTAATTAATCCATATGAGCAGCTTCTTGATGTCCTTGTAAGTGGGCCAGGAGTACCACAATCAAAAACATCAAGAAAATTCTGGAGACACAGACCAAGATTCACCTTCACCACATCAGCTATTAGACCAATATTTACAACATAGTAGTAAGGCAATTAACAAAGCCAAAAATCTACTGTGCAGCAAAATAGTGGGACAGATGAAGGACTGAAGAATCAGGTCCGGCTGATGCAAACCATGTTATTATTGGAACGATATAAAAGAGAAGTACATGCTGAAAGAAATAGAAGACTGTTGGAAAAGCCAAGAAGGTCTATGCTCTTGAAGAAGAGAAGCGTAGCTTAAAGGAAGAAGTGAGACATCTTGAGAGTGAAGTTGCTAGATTGAAGCATGATCTAAGCAATGCACAGGTTAATGCTTTAAACAAGGAACAGCAACTACAGTTAGCCTTAAATCAGCAACAGGCAAAAGTTAACCAAGTTTTTGTTGAATGTGAGCAAGCCCAGAAGGAACGAGAACTCTTACTGCAACAGTGCAATTCCCTCAGAAAAGAAAAGGAAACTTTATCAACACAGTTACATGGAGCTCAAGCAGCATTGATTGAAAGAGATAGACAGCTAACAGTTCAGGCTGCATTGGCAAAGATAACAGAGCACTTAGTCATCAAGTTGAGACCCTTCACAAACAGATAACTCTTATGGGTGAACTGCAGGAACAATATAAGCAACAGGTGTGGCAACTCTCACTTTCAGGTGGGTTGGGTGCAAGTAAAGGTTTGACTTTAGAACGCATGGCAGCTCATCAGCAGGTGGAAAAGTTGGAAGTCTCTCAACGTATTGCTGCGGCCAGTTTAGAAGCTGCACTTGCACGTGTAGCAGAGCTAGAGAATTCTCTAAAAGATAAGGAAAGAGAAGTTGAAGAGCAACAGCGTACAGTAAAAGCAGCAAAAGAGGCTGGTGTGGAGCAGTGTAGGGTTGCTGAAAGACGATGCCAAGCACTTGCTGCCACCAACCAAACCTTGGAAAGTTATATCTTGGAACACAATGATCGTATTGATAGACTAAGTCGGCAGGTGCGAAGATCTCAAAGAGGAAAATCAGTTTGTAGTGATGGTTTTGACATTGATCTAGAATTATCAGCTTCACCATCATCTGCCAGTTGTAGTAGCACTGCCACATCACCCCCTGATGACATGACAGGTGCCCTCCTTGGAAGGCAGCCTGTTGTGCTCAACCGTCTAGATGCTTTATTGGAATTAGACATGGAACCAGAAGGAAATCAAAGAAGAAAGACCTAGACACATTGACAATCTACAGAGAGTTACAAAGGCAAAGGTGTATCAATTAGCATGGATGTTAGGAAAAGGCAGGATTTGTTTATGAAATACAGTAGCTGCAGATTATGATAGTTGCAGTAGAACTTTGTAAGAGTTGCGGTCTTAAGCTAGCTGGAAAATTAGGAGCCTCAAATAAAGTTTCATCAATTTGGTAACCAGATATAAAAGAGGCAGGACCTGAAAAGAATAATTTTCTATGTTTGGAATATGCAGTGAGTAGCCTTTTTAAAGTAGGTTTTACCTACTTATTGTCAATTAAAATTGTTTACAGCTGAGGAATAAAAAATATAACGGTATAAATGATGGATGAGTTCAGGCTGTTCATTCACTGGAAGGTATACAAAGCATGTAAAATTTTTATAGCCTTTCTATGTAGTGCATTGGAGATCTGAGAAAATGTACCACTAATGGTTGTGTGGTTGATTCCTTTGTCATGTATTTGGCAAACATTGTTTACAATTAAAACATACTCTGTCTTTCAAAACATTCAGTAATTAAATCTCATATATATCAAAGAGACTATATATAATACACCCTCCTAAAGTAAGCAGCTCTCTGTATGACTGGGAATCGGACTGTAATTTGGAGTTCACTCTGCCAAACATAGTTGCAAATTTTAAAGTATGGGATATGGTTACATGATTTGTTTTTGATGATGTCATTTTGTATATATAATAAGAGAAGATTTAAATGGAAAGTGTAAGGTTATGTTCATTTTGTGGACTTGAGTTTGCAAGCTATGAATCATTAGAGAAGGAGGTTTATACATCAATCCTTTTCAGGAGCAAAATTTTCTGAAACAGAGTAGCAAAGACACAGAAGACAGGGAGAGTAGATATCTTTGGTCTGTTTACAGAAGTTTGATATGAAGGGAAAGCTCTTATGATTTCATAACAGTGATGGTTTTAAGAGATAATGATTTTTTTTTTTTTTAAATATTACTGGCTACTAGTCACAAACTCTGCAGCTGGGCAGTAAAAGTGCAGGCAGATATCTCTTGTGCTCAAGTTGAAATTAGTTGATTTTTTCTCTTCAAATGGATACATTAATTCTAGTTATTAAAATCTTGATAGTAAATATCCAGTTTACATAAAGGAAGCTGCATTCAGCATGGGTTGCTGTGTTTTGCTCACATGCCAATTGTTTTTCTTCTTTTTAATTGTTAATGAAACATTAATTAAAAAAGTTATGATAATGTTAAGGACGTATTTCTTTCTATCAATATTTAGTGTATCATAGTTGTTTTATAATGCTCTTTACACAGTCTATTGCTGAAATTACCATTATTTAACCCACAATTATTGTACAGTTTAGTGATACAGCAAAAAAAATGTGAATATGGCATTAAAAGGGCTGTGCAGCCATTTAGCAGCCTCTACTCAGAGGTTAATGCCATTATTTTATTGGAAAAATAGCAGATCCAGTTGTCATAAAAAACTTATATTTGTCCCACCAATCTTTCATCAGTGTTTGATACATGTATATACACAATTCATATACTGGCACCCTTTGCTCTATGATGAGGCCATATTCTGATAGCATTATATCATGTTTAAAAGAGATACTCTAGAAACACTGAGCATTAGTAGAGAATCCTAAAAGAGCCCTCCAGCTAATTGAATTATATAAAGTTAATCCAAATACAGTAAAATTTATGAAGAAAATGTACGGAAATGAAAAGAATATGGGCATAAATTGAAGCAAAGAAGTGATCAAACACTCCCTCGTCGTTTGCCCTCAGCACTGGTTTAATTTGCTTGCCATTATAGGTACTATAAAAAAAGTAATGACTCTGTACAGATTAGATAAACATATCATGGCTTGTGAGATACAAGACCATTCTTCGAGTGCATTCAAATGTAGACAAAGAATGAGCTTAATTGTTTGCTCTCTGAAGCATTGAGTAGTAATCTCAAGAACTAATTAAAATCATATAATTAATTGAAGGCAAGCATGATAGAGTAATAGGAGTGACATTTTGGAAAATTATTGATCAACTGTATATTGATTGACCATATAGTGGGGAAGAATTTACCTGTATTTAGTATGGAACACTATAACCCAACATTCAACTTGCTGTTAGTTAAATGCTCTTTAAAAGTAATGCATATCTTTCTACAGTACTTAATAATCAAAAGTTTTTCAAATTGCAAAGCGGTTTGAAGATTCCTTTGAGAACATAAACAGATTTGTTGTAGCATGCCGTTCAGGGTACTATTTTCTAAACTGTACCACATGTTCAGCCAGAAACCTGTTTCTGAATAACCATTCCTGACCTTTTAAGACCTTTATTTTTATTTGGCATAGAGAGTGCAATCCAAGGCCCTGTCTCAAGAAAATGCCAGTATAAAACCTAAGCTTGTTAGTTATTATGTCACTGAACAATAACATATGTTTATATATATATACACACATACTATATACATATATACATATACAAATATACACATACATATATACATATACACATAAATGAATACAATACATATGTACATGTACATGTACATGTACATATATATATATATATATATATATATATATATATATATTATATATATATATATATTATACATATATACATATATACATATATACATATATACATATATACATATATACATATATACATATATACATATATACATATATACATATATACATATACATATATACATATATACATATATACATATATACATATATACATAATACATATATACATATATACATATATACATATTACATATATACATATATACATATATACATATATACATATATACATATTACATATTACATATATACATATATACATATTACATATATACATATACATATATACATATATATAAC